GCAATCAAGTTTGCTACTCCACGGGGAGTGCAAGAGATCAAAGGAGAACAAGAAAGTTCTCGCTCTTGCTACCAAACAACCTTGAAAGGAACTGCAGAACCCACCAATGACACTCCGCGGCGAAGAGCCAGAGGTGGAGCAATAGGACAAGATTCCGCAACTAGAGAATGACCCTGACCTTTTGCATCTAAAGACCTACTTCTTCTAGGTTTGACAAGTTTTTTCGTTTTTAGTTTTTGGTTTTTCCCTTACATTTGACAACGTCCAAGAGACGTCAATACTTTTTTACTACTCAAATTGTAATGCTTCGCCACACGTCTGCGGACGAGCGTTTCAATGAATAATCTTTTTAATATATAACTTTGATGAGATTCTCATCGACCGTCACTGCAAAATATGCAAAAGGAAAATCCTCAATGTTAACGTTCACAACTGACATTAACAAGTGACATTCATATCAAAAATAGTTAAGAGCATGATCTCTCTCTACAGAACAGCGACAACTGCCATTACTAAGCAAGACAATGGTAAAACCATTGCACATTACGAGTGTTATACACACTAAATACACTCGGGGGCATGACCTCCACATACATGGTAGCGACAACCACTACCAAATAAGACAATGGCAAAGCCAGTACACACTGACAAGTGTTAGTCACGTTAAAAATAATCAGATGCAAGTCCTCCATATTCATAGCAGTGACAGCTATCATTACAAAGCAAGACAATGGCAAAGCCATTGCACATGACGACCACGGTCTAAACAAACTTAAAAGGGAGGCAATGCCTACCGAAAACACAAGTGACAGTCTCAGTCCACATGATTGTGATAACTGTCATCATTCGTCCACAGGCATGACCTTGGTAAAAGTGAAATAACCACTGCCAATGAAATCTTGAAAACAAGATTAATAGGCAACTGCAAATTTAGGATATAATTCCATACATAAAAACGCACGACAAGCTAATGATGACATACGTTCCATAACGCACAAGCAACGGTTACATACCAAATATGTAGTGCACGTACGATAGAGCGTAACAAAGAAAAAAACATTCACGATAATGTTAGTAATCGGGGGCAATGATCTCATGTGAATAACGATGGCAACGTTATGACTATAGTCATTAAAGAACAAAAAGTGATGATGGTCGCTTCAAATAGAAATTAAAGGCATGACCCTCAAACACATGAAAATTAGAGACTACGTGATTGTGTCATCTAATCGCGACGACAGTCCCATCTAAACAAATCAACAGGATCGATCTCAAAAAGATCGTGACGACGATCACTACTAGAAAAATCAAGAGGCACGACCTTAAGAAGCGTGTGGTCACGGTCACTAACTAAAGTGGCTACTACAAATAAGAAGCGATGAGATCGTGACGTTCAAGTAGCGTTATAAACAAAAATCAAAAGAGATTATTGTATGAAAACAACATCATAGAACAGCGATTGACGAGTGCAAAAAAAATGACACGTTTCTTCTCTCCAACAAGATGCACGAGGTACATGTGACGACGTCATAATTTTGATCCTCAACAATGTATTTCCTTTGGTTACACATGAACAGGAATGAAACATGCAGAAAAATAGAATCAACGACACAATGCTTGTGCTCTTTTATCTTCTCTCCGGTCTCGCATGGTCACAAAAAATGTCTCTCTTTCGAATTCTCCACTTCTACCCTTGGGCCTAGCCTTTCAAATACTC